GGCAGGCGCGGTGAGGGCAGCCCGCGGGGGAGGGGTCCTGGCTCGTCCCTGAGGCGGGCGCTGAGAGAGGGCGCGGAAAAAGGAATTAAAGGCGGAATTAAAGCCGGAGTTGAAGGAGAAATTAAAAACTATGAGGCAAAACCGGCCGTGAGCGCGGCGTCCGCGTTGTCCGGCTGCCCGGCACGGTGGGTGGGCCCAGGCTGGGGAAATTCTCGCACCGGCTCCACCCCAGCCAGGCCCTGTCGGGGTGTCCCTGGCAATGGTGAAACTTAAGTTATACCCCAAAGTAATTTCTATCTTCCGCCTTTAGGTCTCTGGAATTTGGGAATGGGATGAAGCTGGAGCTGCCTGGCACAGCAGTGTCAGGAGAATGTCCTGACCTGGCCTGAACCAAACACTGAACCAAACGTGCACAGAAAGATGCAGAAACTTGTACTGGAGATGGAGAACAAATTTCCTCCCTTTGCATGATTACCCACTGTTAGATCTGAATCTGAATGTTTCATCTGAAACTGTCTAAGATCAGAAACTACCCCAGTCCAATGAGTGAAGACAGAAGTATTTTAAGCTTTACCCATTTTTGCTTTGTGATTGTGAAGTCCTGGCTGATCAAGCCCTTTCTTGCTTCAGAAATACTTTCAATGTGACTGTTTAAAGCACTCTTAGTGGGGGGAAGTGTTTTAATAAATTGAAAATGCAAATTAAGAGGGAATGTGACATCTAAAGGTGATCAAAAGCACTGTTTTAGCTAATTAGTCATTGCTGTGGACTCCACAGCTGCCTGTTCGCTGTCACGAGCTCGAGATGAGTTCAGATCTGTCAGCACATGAAAAACTGCTTCTGCTGAGGGATTTACTGAATTTTAGCAATGTAGAACCAGCAACACAGTGGGAAGTTCTCAAAAAAGAACAGAAATACGGGCTGAATGTTTTATGGCAAAGTTTTATTTTAGTAATAGCCTTTCAAAAACCTTATTTTGGGAATCATTCATAGAATTGTAGAACGGTTTGGGTTAGAAGAACCTTAAAGCTCATCTCATTCCATCCCTTGCCATGGGCAGGGACACTTCTCAGTATCCCAGGCTGCTCCAAGCCCCATCCAGCCTGGCCTTGGACACTTCCAGGGATCCAGGGGCAGCCACAGCTTCTCTGGGCATCCTGTGCCAGGGCCTCACACCCTCACAGGGAACAATTCCTGCCCAATATCCCATCCATCCCTGCCCTCTGGCAGTGAAAGCCATTCCCTGTGTCCTGTCCCTCCATCCCTTGTCCCAAGTCCCTCTCCAGCTCTCCTGGAGCCCCTTTAGGCCCTGCAAGGGGCTCTGAGGTCTCTCTGGAGCCTTCTCTTCTCCAGATGAACACCCCCAGCTCTCCCAGCCTGGCTCCAGCCCTTGGAGCATCTCCTGGACTCCTCTGGACTCTCTCCAGCAGCTCCACATCCTCCTGCTGTTGGTCCCAGGGCTGGGGCAGCTCTGCAGGTGGGGTCTGAGCTGGGCAGGGCTCAGGGACAGAATCCCCCTCCCCTGCTGCCCACGCTGGGGGATCAGCCCAGGACACGGAGGGGTCTGGCTGGGCCACGTGGAGCTTCTCATCCACCCCCAACACCCCCTCACGCTCAGCTTTGGCTGAAGCAGACGTGGGGAAGCTGGAGGTTCCCAGAGCCTGTTTGTCATCCAGCCCTGCCTGCAGCGTCACTGCTGAGTGGTTTATTTCCCCGTATGGTCCCCACAGCCTTTAATAAGGAGATGGTGGTAATGACAGGACGTCACCTGCACCTCTCTGGGCTGCAGAGGGAGCAGAGGAGTTTTTCCTGTAGGTGTCACCAATATCCCGTGTAGAAACTGAGCTTAAACTCCCGAGGAAGGACCGAGCGTGGGATGCTCAGGTCGCTTTGATACAACACCAGAGTCTTCTGAAATATTTGAGATCCCTTGGGTTGTGTTTCACAGAAGCCTTTTTGTATTTTCCTAATTTATGCCTGGAAAAATCCCTCTGGTTTCTTCAATAACCATGTAAATTCCAGAGGATTTTGAGGCTGGCTTTCTACCAGGACACTGGGAGAATGTGTGAAGGCTGTGATGAGCTGTGGGTGGTGATTGAGTTTGGTGACTGCTGCTGGAGCGTGACTTGTTCCACTCAGTCGTGCAAATATTGCAAAAATATCATGGAATCATGGAATGATTTGGGTTGGGAGGGACCTTGCAGACCATCTCATTCCACCTCCTGCCATGGGCAGGGACACCTTCTACATTCCAGGCTGCTCCAAGCCCTGTCCAACCTGACCTTGGACATTTCCAGAAATCCAGGGGCAGCCACAGCTTCTCTGGGTAACCTGTGCCAGGGTCTCTCCACACTCACAGGAAGAATTTCTTCCTTAATATTGAATCTAAATCTGCCCTTTTTTAGTTTAAAAATGTTTGCCCTTGTCCCAGCAGTTGTAAATCCTTAATCACAATAATCCAGTATTTGCAGACCTATGGAATTTTCTCCCCCAGCATGGGAGCAGCGCCTGATCCCAGTACAGGCTGTTTTAAGGGAAAATTGGTCTTTTTTCAGTTTATTGTGGCAAAAGGTCGAATAACACATTCCCCCTCAAGCATCTTACTGGATACAGGACTTATGTATCACAGAATCATTATGGTTACAAAAGCCCTCTTGCATCAAGTCCAACTATTCCCCCACTGCCAAAGCCACCACTAAACCACCCCGAAGTTCCACCTCTCCACTTAAAATCCCTTCGAATTTAAATCCTTGCGGGGCTGGAGGCACATCCACGTGTGAGTGCTCGTCACTTTTTTGGAGCAGCCGGGAGAACTCTCCCAGCTGGCAGAGCAGCCCCGAGGCTTCGATCCAGGATGCGCGGTGGCATCAGGTACGGATGGCCGGTAATGAGGCTCCGAGGAGAGGCAATTCCGTGCTAATAAACTAAAGTGCATCCAGGAACTCGGTGTATCCCGGGCCCTGGGGCCAACTGGCACACAACGCCCTCTTCCCCATTTTCTTCCATGGATGTACTTCCCAGTGCCTGGGCACGCCTTATTTTCCAGCAGGGATGCAACCTTTGAGCAGCAGGATTTATTTACAGGAAGAAATGCTGCAAGTGCTGCCTTCCAGCTCCCGCCCACTTGGATATGGACCTCGGCTATTCTTCCAAATGCTCTCGAAATGTGCTGATGAAAGGGGAGAATTTCTGCATCACTCCTTGGTGCCAGTGGGACACAGCACCTTCCAGGAAGCGCTCTGGATTGCAGGCTCTCACTCTGGGAAGGATCTGGATCAGAGCACCGAAGAGCTGCAGAATATTTTCTAATTGCAGGGCAGTGAGCTGGTGACCCTAAATGTGGGGTGAGCTCCACTCAGGACCCTCCCTGCACCATCTGGAGCTCAGCACCTCCCCAAAGCCTTTGGAGAAGCTTCTGAGACCTGTCTTGGTCTGTTCTGGCCCTGCTGCTTCCTTGTCACTGCTCTACTTGTGTCAGTTGTTTTAGGAGAAATAAAATGGTTTATTGTTGCTTGAGATAGCTTCCAAAATCTACCTTAAACAGCGAAATTTAAACACAAGTAGTGGTCATAAACAAAATAGGATCTCAGTTCTTGAAAACAACATGACAAAATTAAGAAATTTGAAAATTTGAAGGCTTGAAATCATTGTGAAATAATTCCCTCTGTGTTGTGTTTTATAACAGCTCATTTCTGCTCTGGAGGTTTGAGTGTCTGGTCTACTTCAGCCACAGCTGCTTCTGGGCCAGGATGTCTGAGGGATGCAGGCAGTGAGACTTGATCAGATAAAGACCTCTTTTGCTTTAAAAGCTGGGAGAAGATTTGAAACAAATAATTCCAATAAAGATATAAATCTAAAAGAAATCCAGCCAGGCTAAGGATTTCTTTGAGCACATCTTCAAAAATATTTGGAGATCAAGAGTGTTGTACTGACAGAGGATTAAAGAAAAAAATAATGGTGAAGTGAAATCCCTGCAAGTGAAACTCAGATGCTTTCCCTCGTGTGGCCACAAAACCAAAACCTTTGAAAGGCTCTTTGGTGAAGCCACAGAGGTGGTGGATTTGGATGTCCCTGGTTAATGCCCAGAGCACAGGGTTCACCCTGTGTGGCTGTCTTTTCAGCAATTCATCTGCAACCTTTCCTTCATCTCTTTTGGCTATAAACTATTCCAGATGACTCTTAACCAGTGCTCCTTTGGAATGGACTCATTCCTAGAAAAGACCTGTTGTAGTCCCCATCCCTGGAGGTGTCCAAGAAATGACTGGAGGTGACACTGAGTGCTCTGGGCTGGTTGACAAGGTGGTGATGGGTCAAAAGTTGGACTTGATCTTGGAGGTCTTTTCCAAGACTCAGCTCCAGCTGCATTATCTGAGCATGGTGCCAGCACCGGGCAAGCTTCTCCTCTGGAACACGTTAGCTGAAAATCAAAGATGAAAATACTGGTTTTTCTTCCCAAAGCCAGGCCTGGGGAGGGTGACCATCACGGAAACAGCGGTGGTGGAAATGTTCAGAGGAAACGTTCAGAGTTGCTGCTGCTCTGGTTGTCATTCAGAGCTGCTCCCGCTGCAGAGCTCTCTCCTCTGCTCTCATGCCCATCGAGCTGTTTGTCTAGAGCCTTAATGAGTTTTCTGTGTCTTTTCAAAATGTAAATTGTAACCAATTTAGAAGTCATTAGTTTAGAAGTCGGTCACTGCAGCCCTGCTTTAATCTCACCTGTCCTTTCCCATGTTTCCATTAAACCCCATTTAATTACAAATCCTATCTCGTTCGGGGGGCATCAGCTGCGTTCGAAATAAATGTCCCTCAAAGTCTGTGACTCAGCTGACAACGCACGAGCAGTGACCAAGAGCTGGAAGAACAGGATTTCCAGTACAAATTAACAAAGAGCTGTTCTCCTGTCTCCAAAAATCCACCAGCACCGAGGGGAAAGGAAACCAGAGATGCCAAAATGGACTTTGCTTTCTTTGCTGTAGGTGAAGAAAAGGGGAGCAGTTGTGACCCAGCAGTACCTCCCTCAGGTTGTCCCCAAGGACCACGGGGACTTGCAGCTGTAATGGCTTTGCTGCCTGAGGGGAGGCTTTTAGCTGCAAAAATCCACCTTTCCAGCCAACTCCCATAAATCCAGAGCGTTTAGTTGGACTGCAGGCTCCACTTAATGGGAACGTTGCTCACCATTTCCCATCCTGGTTTTGGCATGAGCAGTCGTGGGCTGCTTTTCTCTTTCTGAAAAGAAATCACTTTTATTTTGGCTTGGCTGGAGACTGAACTGTGGAGTGCCCATGGTCTTTGAGGGCAAAGCATCCCCTCTAAAGGCTCTTCTCCACCGTTCTCAGCATCCCTTTGCCTCTGCCTTCCCTCTGTGCTCATGAGCACATGGTAGAGTGGGCCAGGGAATGGATCCTGCCTTCTGATAACCTTTTTATCAGCAAAAGATGTGTCTGTGGCACAACAGCATTACTGCTGTAACCCGAGGGTGGGTGTTCTTCTGCCTGCATTCATCTCCCTTCCAGAGTTCAGTGAGGCTGGACAAGGCCAGGTCCTCTTGCTCCCTGCCCTAGTGGCACCAGACTTCACTTACCATACATATGTCCATCTTTCTGTCTTGCACATGAACAACTCAGCCAGCTGTGGTCTTGCCTTGTGAGATCTAATTTCTCTTTTTAGCTTCATAATTAAGATTATGGAGAAGGGAGAGCCTGACTCCC